GAACTTGAATGGCCCAGTTATGGAGAAATGTACCTGCCCAAGCTTGTGTCATTTTAAAAGACGCGGAACATGCACTGAAATACATCAGGGACATGAAACTAGGAGAAGATGCAATTTTTCCAACCTTTCCAAGATCAGGTCTGTAATAACCTCATTTAAAGTTGAGTACATTCATATTATTAATTATTAAATACATGAAGTTCATGGATTTAATTACGCTATCATAAAAACACCCCTAAAATATGGAAAAATTATCAAAGTACATTTATGATTTGTATCATAATTTTCTTAACAATGCATTCTTTTAAAAAGGAAATAGGTAATTTTACTTGAAAAAAACATTGGCTGTGGCCTTTAGGTGGCAGAAGATAGTTTTTTTTGCAATCAAAACGTTTGACTCACGGTTTACTTAATATTGAGCTGCTTTAAAAATGTGCATTGAAAAATTTTAAATTCCCTCTACATGTAATAACAGTATGATGTAGTCCCTTGAGAAAATTGAAGCTTTTAGGAATAAAACATGTACAACTTACACAATGAGCCCTAAAGATGGCGCAGGGACAATCTCAAAATTTCATGTGAATCAACCTATTTTCACTATTTCGCCGCAGCCGCATCTGTTTCCCAGGCCCGTGCGCCTGACCTAAGCTACCACACAAATTGCAGAATAACATTTGTACATACCAATGAACAGCAAGAGATAATGGCTCAACCACCTCGTTTTCAAGCTACAATTCATCTGTGAACCCACCCTGCTTTTCTGGTGAAATACCGGTAGAGCGAGTTTTGAGCTTAGTTTTGTATTTCTAGTCCATATCCCATATACAGTAGTAGTGACACTAAAGTGTCATATTTCAATAAAATATACAAGGCCACCAGTTCCCTCCAAATGCACCCATAAAATATTCTAGCTATAAAATTACCTATAATATCATTCACACCTCAGGTTTCTCTATTTTTTCTATTTTTTGACCGGTATTTATTTAAACTATCCTCTGCCACCTTTAACTTTCAAAGTTTGTCTTGCAAGTAATAAACCTTGCTTAATTCAGAAAGAACATGCAATTCTGAGTAAAAATATACCAAATATGTCTTGATTCATTGAAAAATAAAAAAGTTATGGCCAAATAAGAGACCTCACCAATTCTAGGTCAACCACCTTAACCCCATATTGTTTCTTACACATAAAACAAATGCAATTCTTACAACTCCAGATGATAAATATACTAGCAAAAAAGTGTTTAATGGTAATTTTAATCTATTTCACATACATTTATATGTAAAATGTCAAATATAAAGGGCACATCTTGGTGAAATGTACTCACATGTATCACATACTCCCCTATTTTTCATGTTCTATGAAATTCCATTTTATCTCTTTTTCACTTGGTTTTATATACCTATAACTTCTTTGCAAAGTTAAAACCCCTTTCAACTTTCAAGATATTTATCATGATATGCAAAAAATCCTCTTGCATCATATGCTTAAGAAAAAGTGTCCAGGAAATGGCTGTTCAACACCCTACCCCTGCAGCCATTTCTTCAGTGTAATGAAAATGCACTGTAAAAATTTGTTTGTCCTAGCTGAATTCTTTCTAAGTGTCTGGTATTCACTTTTAACAGTTATGAGTAATCAAATACATACATTTCATTCTCCTGAATACTAAAAGAGATTATTCTGTCCATCCTGGGCAATTGTGGGGAGTTTATGGGCCTAGCAGAATTCAATAATTACATGAGAATGCACATTTTATTGATATTACTTCATTAAATATGCAATATAAACTCTTTTTTTTTGCTATTATTCAAAGAAAAAAAAGTCATTTTATAGCAAACCATTGAAAAATTTAGATTCTGTCACATTTAAATAAAGATAAATTTAAAAATTGAAAAGGGGGGGGGCATATTTCATGAAAATATCAATAACAGAATATGTTAAATTTAGAAAAATAAAGCAAAAAAAGTTTTTTCTGGTACTATATATGGTTAGGTTTAGTGACATTTAGGTATGCTGACTGATTTTTATTTTCAAAATAATTATATTTAGTAAATTAGGTTGAAAAAATGGCAAATATATATAATTTCCGTGATATCGCACTAATTAATACACTTAAATTTTAATTAGATTTAATTAATTAAAGCAAGACATGATTTTAATTATGCAACAATACCCAAAGTATCAAATTCAAACAATTAATTTATTCTCAGGCAAAAAATGCCTAAATCTTATATGATTTATTATGCTGATGGTTCAAAGTCTTTAAAAATGTATGTTGGAAAAGAGTAACCCCCCTTGCTTTTTAGTGAATATACCTAACTGTACAGATTTTAAATAACAGAAACAAAGTATTTTTTTAAATTGACTTACATAAATAAACCCTTTTGTATAAAAATCAGACTAAAATTCACATTTCTAAAAATTGATGCATTCTTGAAGGTGGCAGAAGATAGTTTTTTTTTGCAATCAAAACGTACAACTTACGTACAACATGTACAACTTACACAATGAGCCCTAAAGATGGCGCAGGGACAATCTCAAAATTTCATGTGAATCAAGCCTATTTTCACTATTTCGCCGCAGCCGCATCTGCTTTTCCCGGCCCGTGCGCCTGACCTAAGCTACCACACAAATTGCAGAATAACATTTGTACATACCAATGAACAGCAAGAGATTATGGCTCAACCACCTCGTTTTCAAGCTACAATTCATCCTGTGAACCCACCCTGCTTTTCTGGTGAAATACTGGTAGAGCGAGTTTTGACCTTAGTTTCGTATTTCTAGTCCATATCCCATATACAGTAGTAGTGACACTAAAGTGTCATATTTCAATAAAATATACAAGGCCACCAGTTCCCTCCAAGTGCACCCATAAAATATTCTAGCTATAAAATTACCTATTATATGCATTCACACCTCAGGTTTCTCTATTTTTTCTATTTTTTGACCGGTACTTTATTCGAAACTATCCTCTGCCACCTAAACTCGACATCTAGATATATCGACGAAATATTGTTAATTAACAACGGTTGTTTCCATTCTTGTGTCGATTAGATATATCCTGGGAGTTTGATATAAAAGATACCACAGAGTCTGACACATCTGTTCCATATTTGGATCTTTTACTCGAAAAAGACGTTAATGGTTATCTTACAACCAAGCTTTACGATAAACGTGATGACTTAAACTTTTCAATCGTCAACTTCCTAACTTATGTAATGGATATATGCCGAATGCTGTTCTATATGAAAAATTATCAGACTGTTTGAGGCCCGTTAGGGCCAAAACTGTCTGATAATTTTACATATAGAACAGTATTCGGCATATATCTTTCTTAAAACTGTCCAGAAGTTACCTGGAGGAGTCCGATAATAACACAATAGGAGTTCAGGCATCCATTGTTTCTTACCCGTCTAATAAGTAGATAAAAGGAATGAGGCAATAGAAACAGTTAGTGAACTCTTTCATTCCATGCATTCAATGGCAGTCGTTTAGCCAAGGAAGACAGGGGTCAGGTGGTGAAGGATTTTTTTTTTTATTATTTTGGAACATTTTATATATTATGTGCATAAGTTGACATTGACACAGACATAATTTTGGGTGATATCATTACCTTCACCATGGAAAGGAAAAATATGCGGACTTTTATTCTGAAGTTTTTGTTTACATAATGGAAATTCTCGGATTTTATAAGTGCGACCATAGGGGAGCAAACCTTAAATGATCAAATTTTTCCTCAAAAATGGATTTAAATCGCTTATTCAAAGTGTTGTATCAAAAACACTTTATAAGTGGAAAGTGTTAATTTTGAAGAAGGATTAAACTCGATTTTCTTCATGGATTTGCTATTTTGTAGCAACTAAGTTTTTTGCGTTTGCTTTACCTGAAAATTTTCCTAACATTTCTTTTTGTTTCTGGACATATTTAACCTCTATTTCACTCGTTTTCTTGTTTTTAAATACCGTCCGATTGTGTTATCACTACCGCACTAATATATTATCGGACTGGTAATTATTATCGGACGACTACAGGTAAATTTTTAGACTGCAAGAACAAAGGCATGACGTCACAGCAATGTTTTCATTAGCAATATACCTTCATCACCCGCATGCGGAGTTTATATCTTTTACTGGATTCGATGAACAAGAGCATGCTTTACGAATGTACAATTTCTTAAACAATGTAAATTTTTCACTAACAAGGATATCAGCAGCCTCGTTTAAAGTCATCATTTCGTGAGTTCTTTGATCGATACAATGACTTTGTCAGCAAGTATAATTTATCATTTAGTCGAATGCTTACTGACGTTTTCCATACCAACTGTTAATGCGTTATTTACACACTGAATTGATTTACAGAGGAGTGACCGACCGGCAATGGATACTCGCATCTCATGGCTGATCCCACCCTCTGATATTTTGGAGATTCTTGTTTGCTCTGCTCCTATTTTGTAGTGTGTTTTATGGTTTTTTGATCTTGAATACTGATCGTTATATCCATATATTTCACTAAAAGAAGGAAATGTCAATAGAATGTCAAAATGAGCTGAACAACATACAACCAAATATTTATCATATTTGATCTGAATTTAAAGCATATGAATCGAGAGTATGTAAATAGAAGACGTCACTTAATTTTTCTTTAAATTCAAATCCTCTGAGGCAGATGAGATGAGGGGATTTCAACAACCATATTTTAAAGACGGCATTTCGTAAATTTGATGGTCGATATAATTACCTTTTTAGCAAATATAAATTAATCAATAATTGTGTCGAATTTTGGCTGATTTGTTTCATACCAAATGTTAGGCCTTAATTTTATACTGTATTTAACTACAGAATTTCCAACCTTTTGCATATATCATAATCCATACTACTTTCTCGTCACATGTTAATTTAAAAAACTACCGTCACTGTAAAAATTCTTATTCATGTTTGTGTACTTGTTTATTGAAGGAACTCACTGGGTATGGAGATAATGGGCATGCTTCTGAGGGGGAAAAGCCGAGTATTCTACGGTGACTAGGGAACAGGTTTTCGTAGAGGGGTTATCAGACATGAGTCAGATGCAGGGTTATAATGGTGTCATGAGCACCCATGTTCCTTTTCAATGGCTCCCAAAACAACATGTGGATAAAGGCGGGAAAATAGTATACGTTGTACGTAACTCGAAAGATGTTGCTGTGTCTTTGTTTAAATTTCTTTCTTCTTGTGGATTTTTACCTGGGATGAGTTTTGAGAATTTTTTGGACGAACTTTATATTGGACGAAGTAAGAATTTTAAATAATAGTATTTTTATGGCATTTTTAATTTTTTTTCAAATATTTCAACCTACATAATATTTAAATCTTGGAAAGATTTTTTCCCTTTTTATTTAGAGGCGATGTACGGGGGATGGTTTGAGTATAATAAAAAGTTTATCGAAGAAGCGACTGTTCGAAAAGATCAAATATTGATGATACAATACGAGAAACTACAAAGAGTAAGTAAATATTATGTAAAAAATGCTCTTAGAGTTAAAAAATGGTACACAAGGACAAATCAATAATCCAAAATATTAGTTTTATTTTTGCATTAACTATACTTAACCTTAACTTAGTTTTCATTGCGTTGGAAACGGAAGACATTAATAATCTTAATCATCAGAATTAGTAGAAATTAATATTTTTAGCACTAAACCACTACTTTAGTAGAAAAGAAAAAAAATTGTGGATATTTTTTATAAAGATAAATACTTTTAAGATCTTTAAAATTGAACATTTTGTTGATGACTTTTGTAAGTTTTACAACGGTAGATGCCTACGTTTCCTTGACATCTTAGTCCGTAAGAATGTCATTCCTTGGGGCAAATGTTTAACGATTACTGGATATTAAAATGGCTTCATATAATGTTTAAAATCATTTCAAGTATTAGATTTCCGTTATTTAATTGTTTTGAGCAAAAACGCGAAAATATAGTAGCCGCGAATAAAAAGATGATTCATATGTAAGTATTTGAAAAAAAAAAAAGAGAACAAGTATTTTAACCAATTAAGTATGTGGGATATAAAAAGAATATTAATTATTTTTGAAACACAATATTACGATGTCATCATTGAAAAAATTAGACATGTAGGCGAGTGTAAGCGGTCAATAGTGAATGCTTACCTCTTTAGATTCTTGATCCAACTTTTGAAATTCCCGAGATCTATGTTTAATGCTCTATTCACTAATTTCCTTCTTTTTGGTATTTTTTATCTAAAGTCAATCAGTGCCCCTGCATTGCCCATATCCTATTTACTCAATAGTAATTCGAACAATAAAAAGATATAAATAACTTAATACTATTTGATATAAAATAATGTATTGAGGAAGATCTGTTTAATCATTTAGAAAATTTTTTTTTTCATAATATGTTATAAAAAAAATTAATGTATTAATGTTTTATATTGTGTCTATCTTTACCTAAGTTAATTACCTTGTATCATTTTTATTTTACCTGTACTCCTCTAAAGAACCCCTTTATCATAGTTTGCAGCTAACTGTAAAGTTTCACGTTACGTCATGATCTTTTTCGTCCGATGCGTCCAGCGTAAACAAATTACGTGATTGGTCAACTCAAATTATCAACATTGACACGGAAATAATCTGTTGCACGAGCAACCTATCAGGGATAAGAAGAAAGTTCCAGTCGTAAATCTTGCAGTTAGGAGGCGTGTACAATTTATCTTGAGCGCAGCTGTTAACTAGATCGTGACGTAACGTGAAACTTTATAGTTAGCTGGAAACTATAATATCAAATTTTTTGTTTATTCTGAAGTTGAAGGAATACACCGGATAACAGATATTTAAGAAATGAATTTTCATAACGTCCGTTACTCAGTTTGTTTGCATACGTTATTGTAATTGTGATACTACAAATTATGTTTGTATTCTTGACTACCTGATTTGTCCGCAAATCTTTGCTGAATTCTTTGGGTTAGCTAATTAATGGAAGAGCCAACGCAATATCTTCACGAGACTTTTCAATTTGAAAATGTGAATTGAATTAAATTTGATGTTGTACTTTCACAGTATTCCACGTTTGTCGTGTCAATATAACAAATTTAAAATTCATATTTTGACCTTTTGATTCTGTTAATTTGCAATCAATTTTTAAGTAAAATACCCCCAATGGAATGTAAATCTCTTTGTCTTAGAGACGTTCCAGTAGAACAGAGAGAAACAATTTACAGTGTATCTCCAAAGAGAAAGAGATGTCTCCTGTGATGAAAATATGTGATGAATTGATATGAAATATTTGTGTTCCGTAAATAATCTTATATTTTATGCCATGGTAAAACTTTTTCACAGCCTTATTTCCTTGAAACTTAGATTAAGTTTATAAGTTAAAGTTTTGAAACAATTTAAATGAGAAATGAGAGTTGTTCGTTTAAAAACACAATGTAAAAGCAGCAGTTCTATATAACATTCAATTGTTTTATGATCTTTTGCAAGGGCATTCTAATTTCGTGATGTTGATATCTCCTCATATTAATGTCTATGCTGTGTTGCTTGTATACTTCAAAGAACACAGAAGCAGAGATTCGGAGATTGGCTGACTTTTTGGGAGTTAAAGATGAAAACGGACTAGTCAAAGAGATAACAGAGAAGTGCACCTTTCAAAATCTTCAGCAAGCGGACAAAAGTGTCAGGGAGGATCAAAAGATGGCGGAATTAATGAATGAACTCCAGGTGAAAGAAACTCCTACAGTCTACAGAAAAGGTCTCTTTGTTGTTCTTTTTTTAAACATAAATGACTCTTCTGTTATACGACTTACGTGGTTTTGAAAGCAAAAAATAATGAAAGTAAAATGAAGTATTGTTAAAACTATTTACAAAACAATGGAGAAAGAGAGCATTCTCTGCCGACCGGTAACACCCGCCATGATGCTCCTGTTGAATTGAGAATAAATATAACCATTGACTAACTGCTTTTATAATGCATACATCATGTTTGTTTCGAAAAAGGATTTACATTCTGGTTAAATACATCTAACTAGGCGAAACAGTTTCTGTTCCAAATCAATTTTTCCTTCATCTCAAAAACATTTTAAGGCTTTTTAAAATGCTTTTATAATCGAAATTTTGTTATGAACTCCTGCAAAATAAAATCAAACAAACAAACAAATCCCTAAGAAGTTCAAGAAACACCAAATTTTTAGATTTTTAAAATAAAGATATACCTTTGATTTTCAGGAAAGATAGGAGACTGGAAAAATCACTTCACTGTAGCAATGAATGAAACATTGGACAAAGTATATGCAGAGAAAATGGATGGAATAGAGTATCAAGTAGAATTTGAATAGAACTGGTAGAATTGAAATGGATAATGGCCGTTTATTATATTCATAAATTAACATACAGACAGAGTTGTAAAAAAACCCAATTCGCATGGATGTTCTTACATTCCAGTTATGCATGGACCGTACTTCTATAGGTCTTTTAGTATTTTAAAAAAATAATTTTGATGTTCTAACCTTTATTTTAGTACTAATATGAAATAAATGATATATTAGGACATTTCTAAATTTACAATCTTTTTAAAAGCAATCAGGAAATGGTCTGAAAATAAAAACATGAATTAGTCATTTAACTAAGAAAAAAAACTTTTATAAATCAAGGTGTATTTTAAGACGTAAAATAGCTGTTAACCAATTTATTTTCTTGATAAATTACATATTAATTTGTAAAAAAAAAAAATATATACGTATAGTTTGACACGGAGTATCTTTAGCTTTGTACACATATTGTTGAAGTTTATTATCTTTAAGCCGAGAACATCACATGACTTTCTCTCCCAAATCTAGGTCAGTGCTCTCGATAACTGAAATATACCACCACAAAAAAGAAGCAAATTCGGAGCAATATCAATCATTTTAAATTTTTTTTAATTCACAGCAAATTCGGCCTGAAAAGAAAGCAAAAAAAAATTATAGAATATTCGAACCTGGTGTCATAACACATTAACAACGGATGTTTTCCCGTACTGTAGCTTTGGCTTTGAGAATACTATGTTAAAATAAATAATTACTCCAGAAAATGGTTATAGTATTTATTTATATATGAAATACATAAAGAGCTGCTACATTACGTTTATAATGAATACCAACCACATTTTTGATGTACGATATTATCTAGTTTACGACCTCATTAAGGTATAATTTAATTAGGATATTTTAATTAATGTCATTAAAATTTTCCTATTCATCACTCTATGCTTTTTTGCACACATAGTATATGCAATAATAGTGTCAAATTAACAGTATAAAGTATTTTTCATACATAGCTTTTTGAACGTAAGTCCGTTGATTGTTTACATCGAGATAACAATATTTATGTGATAAAAATCCTTCGTTTTGCTACAATGGATGTAGTTTTGTATGCAAACTTCCTCAGCCTTTTCAAGACGCACGTAGTACTTTTCACTTACAGAAAACGAGGGTCAAACACGTTTTGTTTCTTGTAATGAAGTAAATCCGAGAAAATAAATAATTAAAGGTTGTTTCAGTTCTGGATTCTCCATTCAATTGGAATTACACGATATATCTAAAATTAAAAAAAATATTTAAAGCATTTCTGACCAATTATCTTTCGTATCATTTTTTTTTATTTTAAATGCACCTCAAGGATGAACTTGTCACATAAAAGGAGTCAAATTGGTGTTGTTATTAATGATAACTTACTCACAAAATATGGTTCTCGGATTCCGTCAGAATTCAAACGAAGGTGCCTGAAATGATGGAATACGGCCATTAGCAAAAGTCGTGTCTGGGACGTCGACGTCAAATACTTCATCCATGTACTCCCTATTGGCTTTCTCCCTCATTCGGCGTAAAGCCTCTTCTCGTTTCTTGTTCCCCTGAGAGTGCTGGGATGCTTTCATTTGTTTTTATTGCGTTGAGGTAGGGTGTCAAATTGTGACGTCTTTGTTGTTTTTGTTGTTGTCTATTAGTATTTGGAAGACGAAGATGGATGAGTTCTTTTTTTGTTGTAACCGGTTGAGGTGCGGGAGGATCATGATTATTATTTGCATTCATGGCGTCGGAAACTAGCCACGTTGCAATCATTCGGTACACATTTTTCAGTTTTGGGTTATTGTTTGGCAATCCTGGGTATGGCGGCATGGATGGAAGAGGAAATGGAAGTGCTTGTGGGGTTGAAGAAGGACCATTTTGTCCACTGGAGGAGCCGGAGTGGTTTGAGCAGGCGTTTATGATGTCATTGGTTTGAAACCAAGAAATTAATAAGTCCTAGTCTTGGTTTGGATTGAACACTCTTAAGTAACTGTATCGATATATTTTTGGAAAGTGCATGTGTAGGTGGCCGAAACTGCTGCACTGGACTGTTCTTGAACTTGTTTTAAAAGTTTTGGAGGTTAAACTATTTCTGCAGGATAATTTTGTTGAGAGGCGTTTTCTTACCCAAGTTTAATTGTTGCAACAGCTTCAATGGATGGGGATAATGATGCAGCAGGATCTGTTTGTTAGTTTCTCGATAATGCTGTTAGTTTTTGGCTTCGGAGGCTCAAAAGCAGGTAGCAGAGCTTTAAACTTCTTTGACTTTGATTTGCTTTTTGTGCTTCTATATAACTTAGAAGAGAAGACCAGGTAAAAGAAGTAGACAGAATCTCGGCCTATGTCCATGAATTCGCTGAAAGTCAAGATTTGAATTTTATTTGTACATGTAACCCTCAAAGTCTTCCAATTTGTCATATTTGCGTGCTCTAGTTATGGTCATATTTTCCTTAAGGTATTCTGACATAAATTTAATTTATCGGCACTCTATGACCTTAGGGAGGTGTGGGGGGGGGGAGGTGCCAGAGAGACAGTGCTATTGTTGTATGTCGATTTGTTGATCAACAAACCATCATCTCTTAATTCATTGAAAGTGAAAATGAAGGATAATTGGCATTTTTAAATGTCCTTATGTGCTAAATATTGTGGAATTAATTCTTAGTATCACATTGCATATCAGCATATTCAGCCTTTAAACTTTACCCTTAACCACAACTTTTGAAGTTGGACTAGAATTTCATATTTCACAGGTGTTTTCCTTGTGACAAGATCTTTCTTGGGATACCTCGTGGGAGTCGTGGCATAAGCTGTCATGTAAGGGGGAATCAGTGTTTCACAATTAATCTTGTTCGCAGTTTTGTTAAAATGTATTCATATTCTAAACATACATACATCTGTGTAATTCCAGTAAAAACTATAGATTTTGAGCCCATGTGGGGGTTTTTCAA